GATTAGGCATGTCAATTAGGATCAAAATTCGAAGCCCGGCCCGGCCCAGCCCTTTAAAATATTGGGCTCGGGCCTAAATATATAAGCCCAAAAAAATCAGACTTTTCGGGCTATTGAGTCTTTGAACTTTAGCCCGATTGGGCTCGGTCCGGTCTTGAAAATCCGAAAATAAATATATAGTTCACAAATTTAGTAATAAATTTTGTTTAAAGATACTTTTTAAAGATAACTTGATTAAATAATTTTTATATATATATTTCGTTGGCCAAAAACTCTTATTCTACTACTTGGATTTTTGATATTTTGCTTATGTATTATTTTACAGTACTATTAATTTATAATCATTTGAATTCATTTGACATTTGTATTCATTTTATCACACTTTTGCTTTTAAAATTAGATTTCGATAAAAACATATTAGTAATTGTTTAAATCTGGATTTATTTTGATAAATAATATTTTTTTAAAATTTATTTTTATTTTAAATATAATTACGGAAAAGCCCAGTAATCCTTTTCGGGTCGGACTGGACTTTGAAATATAGGCCCGAATATTTTTCAGGCCGGACCAGGCTCGGCTTATATATATACAGGTTTTATGAGTTTTGGGCCGAGCCGGACCGGATTAGCCCGTTTGACATGCCTACCTAAGATATACGGTTGTACTGTAAACCCGAAGAGGGGGATTTACTCAGTTATTAACAAACGTCTCTGTATCTCTACATCAACAGTGCTTTAAAGATGGAGTCACTGCCGCAAGATGTCGTAGAGTGCATCCTGGAGAGACTTCCGGTGAAATCTCTGGCTAGATTCAAGTCTGTATCGAATCAGTGGAAATCAACAATCAAATCAAGGTCCTTCCAAGAAAGACAGTTGTTCCAATATCGTCAGAAATCTGGAGATGATCCAGATATTCTCATACTGTTCCGTACTAATCCTGCCGATTATAAATCTCTAACTACACTTGTGTTGGGTTCTTCATCAGTGGTCCATATCCCTACTCCATGGGACAAGAAGTGGAACAGACATTTCTTCGTTTGTCAGAGTAGCTGTGACGGTCTCGTTTGTGTCTACGGTCGTCGAAAACCCGCCTTTGTGTTCAATCCCACAACTAGATGGTATCGAGCTCTTCCTCTCTGCAAATTACAACTAGTCTTAAGAAACGATCACTCCAAGCCTAGACCCGAAATATCTCATCTTGGATTCGGTAAAGACAAATTCAATGGCACATAAAAACTCGTTTGGTTATACAACTTTGCAGTAATAGGCTTAGAAAACGCTACTACATGCGAAGTTTACGACTTTAGCACCAAAGCTTGGAGGTATGTCACTCCGGCTTCTCCTTATCAGGTTGCTTTGCCGCATCCTGTGCATGTGGATGGGTCGCTTCATTGGTTCACAGAGTGCGAAGAAACCAAAGTTTTGTCTTTCGATCTTCACACCGAAGCTTTTCGAGTCATCTCTAAAGCTCCTTTTGCCAATGCGGGGGATTGCGAGATGGTCATGTGCAACCTTGACAACCGTTTGTGCGTATCCAACGTAAAGGATTTCACACAAGTGATATGGTCGTTTAATTCAGGCAATAAGAAATGGGACAAATTGTGTTCCATAGATCTGGACCTAACTTCTGTTTGGTATAAAGTCAGCGCAATATTGCCACTAGCACTTTTGGATGGAG